ACTAGCCTTGAGCTGAAGAGCTGAGGGACAGTGCCCAGGCCCAGAGTTCAAGCCCCACGACCAACCAAAAAAAAAAAAAAAAAACAAAACAAAGTATGAACAAAAGGGCTGGGGTTGTGGATCCTCAAGTGGTAGAGTGCTTTCCTGGCATTGTGAGAGGTGCTGGGTTCGTTTCCTAATACTGAAAAAAAAGAGGGGGGGGGTTAAGGGCTAATCCAATTCCCCCTTGCACAACACCAGTGACAGGAAGCACCCTCCTTTTCAAGACAGACAATAGATTAATCAGAAAACCTTTCCCCTTCTTGCTGGGACGCTGGTGGCTCATGCCTATAATCCTAGGTACTCAGGAGCTGAGGTCTGAGGATCCCAATTCAAAGTCCCAGACTGGGGCAGACAAATCCTCCAAGACTCTTATCTCCAACTAGCCAGTAAAAGGCTAGAAATGGAGGTGTGCCTCAAGTGATAAAACACCAGCCTTGAGCAAAAAAAAAAAAAAAAAGCCAAGTGAGAGTGCAAAGCCCTGAGTTCAAGCTCCAGTGCACACTTATGTGTTCTTTTATCATAGTCCCACCCAGAAATTAAATCCAATCCTTCCTCCTTTTGAAGGCCTTCAAGGCATTGGAGGCCATTGTCCATCCACCTGAAAGTTGCCTTCCCTGGGCAAAATATTGCTGCTTTCCAGCACTACTCTCCCCAGAAGCCTCCAGTCCCTTCCCCAGCTGTTTCCTGCCCTTCCTAGCCCACTCCAAACCAGCACTGTGTCTCCAAAGTATGGTAACCAGCTCAAAAACTCCTGCACAGACATGCTGGGACTGGTATAGGGGCAGGTATGAGTGTGTGTGTGGTGTGTAGGCAGCGGGCACTCACCTCTGGAGGCATCGGAAGCTGCCTGGACATAGCTCTCCTGAGAAAAGAGAGAGGAGAAAGAGGGCTTGATTAACAGGGACTCAGTGCAGAGACAACCAGAGGAGGTATGCTTAACCAGGCAGCTGCAGGCTATTAGAGACCCAGGATCCAAAGAACGGATAGGCTTTGGCTTAAGGGAAAGCCCGGTTTGAATTCTGGCTCTGCTAGAACTCTGAGAGAGTTCAGGCGAATAAATCAAGCCCTCAGAGCCTTGGATTTCCTGGTGCAATTAGGAGCCGACAGTAGTGGCTAGGGTTTTTATTTATTTTGTTTTGTGCTGGTCCTGGAACTTGAACTCAAGGCCTGGGCTCTGTCCCTTAGCTTTTTTGTTCAAGGCTGGCATTCTACCACTTGAGCCATAGCTCCACTTCTGGCTTTGCTGATTTCTTTGGAGATAAGAGTCTCACAGACTTTCTTTCGTAGGCTGGCTTCTAATATTGATCCTTAGGTTTCAGCCTCTTGAGTAGCTAGGATTACCAGCCTGAGCCACAGGTGTCTGGCTATGAAAAAGCTGGCTTTTTAATCCTGCGGCTCTGGAGATGAGAGGTTCCCTGAGTCACAGTCAGAATAGCAACAGGGCTGCTGAGCCTGTGGCAGTAATTAAGATGTCACCAAATAACACATGAACAGCATCTACGCTGGGCTGACTCTGAGCTGGATGAATTTCCATGTCTCCAGAGCAGTGGGGTCAGGTGGCAGGAGACACCTTCTCTGACCCAAGGGGCTCAGGGTTGATGGCTGGGACCAGCGACTGTGCCACAGCCCTGCCTCCATCCCCAACAATCCCCTACCCTCTGGAACTGCCACCTGGCCTCATACCGTCTTCAAGCCACAGGCCGCCCGGTTCCGGTAGAGAGTGGCCAGGAGGGTCTTGTCCTTGGTCAGCTTCAGGGCCTGACTGTAGCTTTTGGTGGCCGCCTTGTAGTCCTGACGCTGGAAATGCCGGTTGCCCTCCTCCTTCAGCTTTGCTGCCTCTGCCTCTGCCATCTGTGGGGACAGAGCAGCCCTGTCTCACCAGCCCTGGCTCCAGACTCAGGGCAGGACTCCAGGCCTCCACCACCAGGATGGAGGATGGGGATTTTCTGGGATGAGATCCAACTCCAGCACCCCTAAACCCATTGACCCTGGAGGACATTGTCACATCTGCCCAGAGCTCTGCTCCAGTGAGAGGTGTCAGAGTTCACATGTCTCTCTTTCCATCCCTCCCAGCCGGGGTAGGTGAAACCACCACACTAAAGGCCCACGGTCTCACAAAGGCCTGGAAGTCCACAGGCCTCCTCCCTGCCCGGCCTCCCTGCAGCTGCCAGCTCACTGTCTCTGTGAGGCCTCCTCCTCTTCCTGGTGCTACTTCTGAGTTCTGGGATCCACCTCGGCCAGTGGCCTCCGTCTGCCTCTCCCAGCCCCTATCCAAGAGACTTTATCACCCCAGCCAGTGGCTCCATACCATATTTGGCCACTGGGGCAGGTGGCCCTGGAGTCTGTCATTGATACCCAGGGCCCTCCCCCTCCCAGGACTGGACAATCATGACCACGTGCAGGTCTTGTCTAGCCTCCGCCTCTTGAGCACCCTGCTCAGGGACAATCCTGAGGATTCATACCCCTCAAGACAGAGAAAGATCCAGAAAGGACAGGAACTTTTCCTGGGTACAGCTATAATGCCCCTTTTATACACACACACACACACACACACACACACACACACACACACACCGTCCTAGATAAACAACCTCCCCCTCCTCCTGTCCCTGCTATTTTGGGAGCAGAGTGACAGCTGAGGGGCTGATAGACTTGGACACAGAGCAGCTGCCCAGCTCCCCAACCAACTGGAGTCTTCCAGAAATGCCTTTCTGGAGGGAGGGGGAGGACAAGGCGGAGGAAAATGCTTCCCCTCGTCTGCTTAGACTTGTTCCCTTGCATCCTACTGTTCTGGAATTTCCTTGTTGAACATGTTCTTGCTTTTCAGAAAGACAACTGACTTGCCAATTCTGTCTACTGTGAGTGGGTTACTGTTTGGGTATGCATGCTCTCTCCTGTCCCTTCCTCTTGGTGGCTGGGGAATATATTCAGCCCACCTCCTCCATCAGATTGGGAACTCTCTGAGGGTAGGCTGTGTTTCTCCCTCATCAGACTCCCATAGACAAGCCCTAGGTCAGGTCCAAGGATGGTAACCTTCCATGTCACCAAAAACCTTGTGGGACCAGAAGAGACTCGTATCAGGACAAGAACTATGCATTCCACAGAAGGGTCTTCTGTGATGTTTCTTTGCCACTAAGGAATCCCAAGGTGACCTTACAAGGCTACTTCAGTACTCAGAACTCATGCCCTCAACTGCACTGGTGGTACACGCCTGTAATCCTAGCTACTCAGGAGGCTGAGATCTGAGGATCGCGGTTCAAAGCCAGCCCAGGCAGAAAAGTCTGTGAGATTCTTATCTCCAATTAACCCCCAGAAAACCAAAAGTGGTGCTATGGCTCAAAATGGTAGAGTGCTGGCTTTGAGCAAAAAGAGCTCAGGGACA